GGCAGGAGGGAGCAAGGCCTTGTAGGTGAGGGTGAGGGATTGATCATATGTTGGAGCACAGTGGGGGTGAGTACAGGTGACACTGACCACAGCAGAGTGTGCAGAGTGGAATTGAGCACAGGACGAGTGTCAGCGGGAAGGTGTTCAGCACACTGCGGATGAGCAAAGGTGACTGAGAACCAGCGGTCTGAGCAGCGGGCAGTGGGTGAGCAGATGGTAAATAGTGCACGGAAGTGAGCACTGAAGAAAGGCTGAGCACAGGAGGAAAGGTGAGAAAAGTGAGGGCACAGTGGGAAGCACCGAAGGCGTGAACCCAGAGTGAGGATCCCATGGAGGATGAGCACAGATGGATCACGTGGGGGATATCATAAGGAAGGGTTGAGCAGAGTAGGTTGAGTACAGGGGTTGAGCACGGGGGGGGGGGGGGCTGGGGGTGCGCAAAATGTGGTGACAGTTATGGGTAAGCAGAGGGGGTGAGCATGTATGGATAGGTGAGAAAACGGACTGAGCACAGGGATCTGAGCTCGGATTTTGAACAAGGGCGTCGTGTTGAGCTCGTTGTCGGAGCACAGTGTAATGGGAAACAGTAGGTGGGAGAACAGTTGTTTGTGGTTACAGAGAGCGGGAGATTGAGCACAGCGAGGGAGCTGAGCACATGGTGGATTAGCACAGGTTAGATTAGTACAGGTTTGTGAGCACAGAGGGATGAGCATGTCGTGCGAGCAGCGAGAGGTGAGCATATGGTGGGAGCAGAGGGTGGTGGGAGAACAGGGAGCTGAGCACAGGGTAGATTGGCAAAGGGAGAAATCCTCAGCTGGATGAGCGAACGGGGTTGTGAGACATGGGATGGGGATGGGCAGAGGGAAAGGTGAGCACATGGATTGGGGGAGGGGATCTAACACCAGGAGAGTTCAGAAAAGTGTGTTGAGCACAGTTGAGTGAAAACAGGTGGAGAGACCACAGATGGTGGAAGCACATAAGGCTGATATTAGGGTTGGAGCTCAGAGTGGTGAGCGCAGGTGGGGTTGAGCACACCGGGGCGGGATGAATGGGATTCAGCACGAGGGGAAATGTCAGCAATGATTGTTGATCACGGTCCGGGTGAGCAATGCGGGGTGGGTGACGCCAAGGTTGTGAGCAGCGTAATGTGGGTGAACAGAGATGGGAGATTTCAGTGAAGTGAGCACAGGAGAAGGGTGATCAAAGGGAAGGCACAGCGTGGAAGCATAGGAGGGGTGAACACAGGGAGGCTTAGTATGGGGGTGTGGTGGTGTATGGGAGGGGTTGAACACAGAAAGCGTAAACACAGGGGGGTGCTGAGCACAGTTGGTAGCTGAGCACAGTGGAGTGACACGGGCCTGCTGGAGCACAGGTATGTGGCAACAGGAGGGGGGAGTGAACACAGAGGGCTGAGAAAGAGGGAGGCTGACAAAAAGGGGTGAGTGCGTATTAAATGGGAGGGGTTTAGAACAGGAATGCTGAGCACAGGTTGCGCAATGCATAGGCCGTGTCTGAAAAAAGATGGCGCTCAGGACAGGATTGAGGTCTGAGCACAGATGAAAGGTGGAGATCCAGGGAGGATGGGCTGAGCACATGACTACAGGGGGAGCGGCTGATCACAGTGAGAGGGGCTGAGCAGAGCACGGATGGGATGAGCACAGGGGAAGGCGCTGGTTGCAGTGGGGACGACCTGATGCATGGGGAGGCGTTCAGCAGAGGGGGAGGGACTGAGAAGACGGGGAGCAGCTGAGACAGGATCACTGAGACAGCTGATCACACGGAGAGGGACTGAGCACAGAGGGAGGGACAGAGCACATGTGCGCAGGGGGAGATAACTAGCATAGGGAGCTGGGCTGAGTACAGAGAGAGAGCTGGAGCTCAGGTGGAGGGGCTCAGGCTCGATCGAGGGGTTGAGTTCATGGGGAGGGTCTTAGCCCAGGTGAGGGTCTGAGCTCAGGGGTAGTGCTTAGCCAAGGTGGAGCGGATGAGCTCGGTGGAACGGCAGACACACGGGAAGGGTCTGACCTCACATGGACCCCGAACTCCAACCGACCCCGAAGTCACACTGAGCCCGAACTCACAGAGAAAGGTTTAATTACAGCAGAAACCCATCGCCCAAGCAAGATCGGGATTAAAAACTGTCAACATTTCTGGTATTGAAGCTCAGACAGAAACAGTCTCCAAAGCTGAGACTACACGTATTGTCGATCCTGATGTTCAGTATCATAGATCATAGCGAGTGTTTGTGAGATTATCTTCACTGCGTTTTTATTGCAGATGCGCTGGAGAAACCCAACATTTCCCTGAAGCCAGATACCCGGGTGTTTGTGAGAGGGGAAAGAGCAAAGATCTCATGTTCTGGGAAATACCCTGGTAGCAATTTCTCTTTTTTCAAAGACGGAGAGTTTGTCACATCACAAACAGATCCAGAAAAGAGCAACGTGGCAACATTCACTCCATCGGAAATCAGTGCAGGAAATTTATGGTGCAAATATAGCACAAACATAGACGGCCGAGAGCTCAAATCACTGGAGAGCGATCGAGTGGGAATCTTTGTGCGTGGTAAGATAGAGAACCTGGACTCTTTCAGCAATGACAATATATTGGCCCCTTGTGTCCAATCATAGTGATCGGCGTCCTTTCCACCCCCCTCCCATTCACCAATTTCTTCCACCCGCTCTGTAACACGAGTACCTCCCCATTACTGCCTCCCGCCACACCCTCTATTGATCCATCCCTCACTTCTCCCCTCACCCTCCATTCTTCCCCACACATCCTTCATTGCTCATTTTCTCCCTCAACCCCTCCCACACCCTTCTTCCCAATCTTCTATCCCAAAATCCCTCCCACAACTTCTATTCACCCCTCCATCACTTCATCCCACACGCTCTATTCCATTCTTCCCCACTCACTCCCTTCCTCCATACACTCTATTTCCATCTCAACCACTCACTCCGTTACTGCATCACTCTGTATTCCCATCTCCCTCAATCTCTCTACCCTCCCTCCTCTGTTGCCACATTCCTCCCACATACTCGCTCCCACACGCGCCTGCTTCCCACACCCTCTATTCCCCTCACCCTCTTGCAAAGAGCTATCTTCCTCTTGAATGTATCTGGACCACCTGATTCCACCGTTGGTTCAGGCAGCAAATTCCTCCACCTCACTCTCATCGGTGTGAAATCGTTGCTCCTAAATTTTGTTTTTGATCAACTGGGCCTGATCTTATCATTTTGTTTACAAACACATTTGAAGATCACACGAGATGTTCAGACTGAATTCGCGTCCTCCCGTCCCTGGCTGGAGCTGTGGGTTACTTCTGTCCACTACCCTCCCAAGCCACCCAACTCGCAACCGCTGCTACCCCTCCCTCCGCGTAAAGAAACACTATCTGGGGTCTGTCAGAAATCTCCCCCTTGACCACTCCGCCTTGTGCAGACGCTTTCTCGATGCTGAAAAACAAGCAAATGGTCACTCTTATTCTAACCCTAACTGTCTGCATGCAACACAGTGTCTGCGAGATTATCCTTACTTTGTTCTAATTTCATATCCGTCCAGAAACACATAATTTCCGTGAAGCCAGATTCCCGGGTGTTTGAGAGAGGAGAAAGCGCTCAGATGTCATGTTCTGGGAATTGTCCTGGCAGCAATTTCTCTTGATACAGAGACGGGAAGTTGATCACATCACAACCAGCTGCAGAGAATAATAATACGACCACATTAACCCCATCGGAGATCAGTGCTGGAAATTACAGGTCAAAATACACTACACAGATAGTCGGCCAACAGCACACATCACCAAACAGCGATCGAGTGGGAATCTCTATGCGGAGTGAAAGCGGAAGCCTGGACTCTCTCACCAATGATCACTTACTGCCCCTCGTGTCCAGTCACCGCGTTCGTAGCATTTTCCTCCCCGTCCTCACCCTTTTTCATAGAATCATAGAATTATACAGCACAGAAGGAGGCCATTGGGTGTTTAACCAGAACCATCTAATTCAATATCACGATTCCGCTTTCGTCCCATAACCCTTCAAACTTTTCCTACCCAAACAGTTATCTTCTTTCACTCGCTTTGTGAAACAAGTATCTCCGCATTCCTCTATATCCCCCTCTCTCCTTCTGCCCTTCCTTCAGCCGACTCCCTCACTCCATCCCACACACAATCTCCCTCACCATTACTGCAACTCACAACTGCATTCCACCGTCCTTCCCACAAAATCATACCCTCCCACACACTGATGACTCCCACAACCTAACTGCTATTACACTCTGCCTCCATCACCGTTACTCGCTCCCACAACCTCCATTCTTCCCATACGGTCTACTCCTGCCTTGCACCCCCTCACTACCTCGCAAAACTTCTAGTACACTGTATCTCATTCTCTGCCACACCGTCACTTCAAAACTCTCTATTCCCCTCTCCCTCGTGTGACGGTCGCACTTCCTCATAAGTGTGTCTACACTATCTGTGTCAGCTGCAGATGCAGGAGTTGAGTGCCAACATCTCACTGCCCTCTGTGTGAAGTCCCCTTCTGCGTTTTCTGTTCTACCACCTTGTTCCAATTGTTATTTAAAAATACGGATGAAAATCACCTGAGAGGTTCAGATTGAAATTCCATCCTCCTGTCGCAGTGTGGAGCTGTGTGTTACCCCAGTCCCGGCCATCACTGCCCACTTGGGCCACCCCACTCTCAGCCGTCGCTCCAATCCCCCTGTGTAAAGAAACACTTCTGGATCCTGTTCTGAATCTGCCTCTCAAACCCTCCCCAACGCCCCTCGTTCAAATGCCTCATCGAGGGTGGGAAACAAATACATTTTCAGTTTTGCTTTATCCTGAATCGTGTCCGTGTCACGGAGTGGATTTACGTGAGATTATCTTCAGTGTCTTTTCATTCCAGATCCTCTCCAGAAACCCACCATTTGGATGAAGTCAGATTCACGAATGTTTGCGAGAGGGAAAATCGCTCAAATCTCGTGTTCTGGAAATTATCCCGGCAGCAATTTCTCTTTATACAGAGACGGCGAGTTTATCACATCGCAACGTGCTCCACAGAATAAAAACACGGCTACATTTACCCAATCAAATACCAGTGCAGGGAATTACTCGTGCAAATATACTGCACATATTGGCAGCCGAGAATTCACATCACCAGAGAGCGAGCAAGTGGGACCCTCTATGTCGGGTAAGAGCTGAGTAAAATCTCATGCAATAACTTGTTTGTTTTTTGACCATCGACAGCAGCTCCTGTTGTAGCTACGCTTCGCACCATCGATGGTATTTCTATGTTATCGCATGGTGTTGACCAGATTATCTGATGCGAGACATCACAGCTGTAAAACAGTTTCCAAACCCAAACATCCGAGCGATCCCCACACAGCATGTTCGGGATGTACTGTCCCGCACTAGGCTTCGGGAACACATCACTCCCACCCTCGCTCGCCTCCACTGGCTCCCCATCTCCCAGAGGATCGATTTCAAGATCCTCATCTTCACCTACAAGGCCATTCACGGCCTCACTCCCTCCGACCTCTCCGACCTACTATCCCACTACCTACCTGCCCGTACCCTCCGTTCCTCTGGCTCCGGTCTGCTCCACATCCCCCGCCCCAACCGCCCGACCATCGGTGGCCTTCAGCCTCTCAGCCCCGAGGCTCTGGAACTCTAATCCCCAGTGCCTTCGCCGCCTCCTCCCTTTCCTCCTTCAAGGCCGATCTCAAGGCCTTTCTCTTTGACCTTCAGCCTTCAGCTCCCCTCTCGACTCTCTACCCCGTCCTCGTTCCCTCCCTTCCCCTCAGCCTGACCATTTCCCCCCGGCTCGGGTCCTGACCCAACTGTACAGCGCCTTGGGACGTCCTCCCGATGTGAAAGGCGCACAATAAATGGAAGCTTGTTGTTGTTGTTGTTGTTGTTGTAAAGCTTTTCCTTTGCTGAACCGCTTCTCCGTCACGTTCTTTCGTTTTTATTTTGTTGTTTGAGGCAGGATTTGGCGATTCCAGATCTTGTAGTTACATAGCAGCTATTATTTAATAAACTGCACCCCACAGCTTGTTACTGAGCACAGTGTAGTACATAGCCCCTTCTTTCCTGGCTAGGACCATCCAAACCGCTAACACTGGCTTGGGCTATAAAAGTCGAGTGGGTAGACCTCCACCCTCCGGTGACCAATCTTCTCCCAAACCGCTTGCCGGTGTGCCAGGCTGGACTTTGCTGCCATCTGCAGTCCGCTGCAACACTGCGGAGCCGTCTGGCTCAGGGATCGGATTGGTGACCACCATCAAAGGTGGAATCGATACTAATCTTCCACAGCTGGGCAGGTCACCATCGCAGCACCGAAAGAGATCCTGCTGATCTTTCCCCTCACAGGGTCAGAGGGCGACAGGCTTTTCTCTTGAGGACAGAATAGGGGAGCTTGGGCTATTTTCATTGGAACAAAGGAAACATTAGTTTCTGTAGGGTTTTCTTATCGGGAGATGAAACCAGATTGGCGTCTTGAACATGATACATTTTGTTATCTCTGCACTCTTCAAAGACAACAAATTTCCTTGTCCATTTTCCTCACTAGCACGCTGGACCGGGATGCTCACTCTAGGACTTTCAGTGGGGATTGTCACTTTGACAGTAATCACTGGCCTTATACTGGGAATCTGTGAGTACAAGAGAGGTAAGTGGCCATTAATATTACTCAATGCAGAATATAATTGTTCGTAATAAAGGAACAGCCAGCTCATCGCGTTGGTGCGGTAGGAAACTGCACTTTACAAAAATTATCTTTGAATGCCTTTTGATACTGGATGAAAGGGAAGGATTAAAATAAATAAAACAAGACGTTTATTACATTTTGTATTCGCAGTTAAACACAACAGTTCAAGAAGGGATTGGTGAGAAGATTTTTATTCTAATCCCATTCTCTGTTCTCTCCCCATGTTGTCATTGTGGTGCTGCAACTCTCTATCTGATCCCGTTTCGTGCTCTCTACCAGTTTCTGTACTGGTGCTCGCTATCCCACTGGAGCTCTCTACTCTAATGCCACTCTCTGCTCTCTTCCTATTGCGTACCCGCCAATGGTTGCTCCCCCACAATTCGGCAGGGCACCCAAGGGCGGACTGTTCACTAGGAAAATGAAATCCTACCAATTCAGGGCTCCGCGTGCGGTGTGGAGGTGCGCATTTGCAATGGAGGGGTTGGGGAGGGTAGGCCGATCCTGCGAGCCAAAGCCCTGAAAGGTAGTATGGTTGTAGCTGGACAGGCAGTGGTGAATGTTTATGGGCAGTGCTCTCAATTGCAATCTATGTATGATTAGCTGGTTGGACCACAGCAGCTACCCCGAGACACACGATGAGAACCGCAAGCCTGATTCTCGCAAGTCTGTGCCTCATCCTCATGGTGATTAGTTTGGCAGGGACGCTGCACACTGTTTACAAACGCAGGAATTTCGACGTGTAGATGTTGTGACTGTAAGTCGTAAGCACGATGGTGTGATTCCACATGTATCAGATGCCTGGTCCACCCCACCCCCATCAACCTTAAATCATAATTGTCCAGCGATAAGGGAAATATTTGCACAGAATCATCTTCTCACCCCTGACCCCTAAACCCGCCCCCACATCTCAACACACGCCCACTCCAGACTTACAGCAACCCCCCCAATAATACCCTTTCCACACACACACCTTTGTGTCACCGAGTTCACAGAAACCCTTTAGCAAGTTTGCTATCTCTAATCCAGAGCAGGTTTCTACATTTGTCCTGCGTTCACCAGCTTTTGAAATCACTGTCTGCGAAGCTTCCTACTGCTGCACAAACTGCTGCACAAGAGACATGTACTGAACAGGCGGCGACCCCTCCCCCAGATTAAAGAAAATAGTTGTTTGTCAGCCGGTGAAATGACTGTCCATTTGTCTGTGTGTGTGTCTATGTCTGCGTGTCTGTCTGACAGAGTGTGTCTGTCTGTCGTTCATTTCTCTTAATTTGAGCAGCTTCAAGAGTTCTGTCTTTCTGATTAGATGATAATCCAAGGAGCAGTCTGCCTGTTCAGGTGTACATTTGATAACCCGTGGCACTACTCAAAAAGAGAATTTCTCCCTCCATCAAACAAAAGCAGTTACTCACCCAATGACTGTTTATGGGCCGCTATCGTATACCGTTGACTGCCATGTTTCGCTCACAAAGTAAAGTCACTCAACTGTATAGTCAATCCTGTGAAGTGCTTTGCCATGTCTCGTTGAAGTGATAATGGGTTATTTCAAACAAAATGATTGGTAATATATTACACTTTGTAATATACATGTTATTGACATTATCATTGCTAATGTTCATTCATATTACTGATATCCTTAATAATACTGATATCCTTAATAATGTTAAGAAATAAAAGTGAGTGTTATTTAAGCATTCTGGTGTTAATATAATCCCTTATTTGTTTGTTTGTCTGTTTGTTTGTTTACTTATTTATATATTTGTTTATTTATTTGTTTGTTTGTTTGTTTCTTTGTTATTTACTCTTTGTTTATTTAATTATTTAAGCACTCTGGTGTTAATAATAATCCCTTCAAAAAACAAAAAACAATATTAAATTGGTCATTTTCAATCCACGACTGTTTGTGGGATATTGCTGAGTGCAATTGGCTGCCGTGTTCGCCCACAAATATACAGTCAATTCACTTTACAGTGTGTTCTGTGAAGCGCTTTGGGACGTCCTCCAGACGTGAAAAGAGCTATATCAAATGCAAGGATTATTATTATTAAACCGTGTTTGTCTCAGTGAATGGTTGAATGCTCGTTGCTTCCAGCTCTGAGTATTGACCGCTTTGTTGGCCCAGTGTCTGCCCAGTTCAGCCCTATGTCTCGCCTGAGCCAGAAGGTGGTGTATTTAACCCCTTGTCGCAACTTTCGCGTGATTCGCTTGAGGAGGACGTCCCAAATCGCTCGACAGTCAGTTTTCGGTTAGTGATTTGGTCTCTTTCAACCGGACTCTCTCTCTCTCTCTCGCTCTCCCTCTCTCTCTCTCTCTCGCTCTCTATCTCTCTCTCTCTCAGTGTACTGGCCGATAATCCCCAAAATAAAATTGATCGCTCGCTCGACGACTGTTTGTGGGATACTGCTATGCAATATTTGCTTCTGCGTTTCATTCACGAAACAGTACACTTTTCATTAGATTGTGAGAAGCACTTTCAGATGTTTTGACAACATGTTGACGCGCTAGATGAAATATAATAATAATAGTCCTCGCATTTGATATAGCGCTTTTCACATCGGGAGGACGTCCCAAAGCGCTTCACAGAACACACTAACCAGTGCTCTAACCACTGAGCTACAGGACCCCAGAATGCAAAAGATCTATTTCTCTCTCAATTACCTCTCTGCACACTTAAAAACTGAAACGCTCCATTTTTTTAGCTGATTTTTCTCTGTCTCTTGTGTCTGTCTATCGCTCTACCTCTCCGCCTATCTGCCTCTCTCTCTTTCTCCTTCTCTCTCTATCTATCTATCTCAGTCCTTCTGTTTCTCCTCAGCATGATCCAGAATACGGTCTCTGGCAATTATACAGCCCTCGCATCTCATGTGGCCTCTCTGTTCATTGGGATCAAGGATAATGACACTGATTACAGTCCAATATCCACATCTTCTGTGGCCTCAATTTGTCCAGGAAGGATCCTTGCATTTGATATAACACCTTATCGCAACTTAGAGATGTGCCAATTTGAAAGATTTATTAATCCTAAAGTGTGATCCACCAATTGACTAACAAGCTGGTTTCTTCTTACTGCAAGTAAAGAAAGTCGTGTGGGTGGATTAATGGAATATGCCTAATGTTTTTCCCTTTCCCGGAATCAAAACCAAGTCCCCTGACTGGCGAACCATGTGGCATCACCAATATGTTACAGGACTCCATAACAATAGGCTGGTGTAGAGACTGTGTGCGATACATTCCCCACAGCTGGCTAGTGTAGTGACTGTGACTGTTACATTGCCCACGACAGGCCATGTAGTGTCTGTGTGTATCTCACTGCCCACAGGATGCTCGTGTAGTGACTGTGTCTGGTATGCTTCCCACAAGGCCTATGAAATTAATTGCGTGTTTCACTTCACACAAGAGGTAAATATGGTGACAGTGTGTGTCCCAATGCCCAAAAGTAGGTAGTGTAGTGGCTGTGTGTGTGTGTTACTCTACCCCTTGAAGATTACTGAAGTGATTATTGGTGTTAAACTGCACACAGGATATCATTGTTGTGACTGTGTATGCTTCACTGCCCAGAGAATGCTAATGTAGCGACTGTGAGCGTCACACGGCCTATATGAGGCTAGTGAAGTGACTGTTGTGTTATACTGCACACAGGAGGCCAATATTGTGACTCTGTCTGCTGCACTGTCTCCAGGAGGTCAGTGTAGTGACTGTTTGTTTTACGTTGCCCTCTGTAGGCTACTGTAGTGTCTCTGTGTGTTAAGGGTTGGTAAAGAAAGCTGCAAAGAAAGCTGCTGCATCCGCAGAAAATGATCAAGTGGCAAAACAGCAAATCCTCCCGCTTCCCTCACCACCCACACCCCCAAAGCACCGGTGGCTATTAAATAATAATAATAATAATAATAATCCTTGCATTTGATATAGCGCTTTTCACGTCGGGAGGACGTCCCAAAGCGCTTCACAGAACACACTGTAAAGTGAATTGACTGTATATTTGTGGGCGAACGCGGCAGCCAATTGCGCACAGCAATGTCCCACAAACAGTCGTAGATTGAAAATGACCCAATTTTTTTTATTATTGTTTTTGGTTTTTTGGAGGGATTATTATTATCTTGTTGATACTCGTCAACAAGGTGATGTCTCACCACTGTAATCATAGACAGACTGCAGACATGGTTGGGAAGAGAGACTGCAGACATGGATGCAGTGGGCATGGAGAGAAGGAATAACATGACCAAATCCAGTGGCAGACAAGAAGCTGTCGATTCTCCCTTCTGCTGATGTTAACCCCCAAATACTCTTTTCAAAGCCACCCATTTCCTCTATGATTGTTACCAAATTGCATTCGCTTAAATTTAAAATAAAGGAAATATATATTGGTGTGAATCGGAGCAAATTTCTTAAAGCTGCTGGTTTGCCATACGTCTGTGGTGGAGGCTGGAATTTAATGGTAAGAATCTCATTACGTTTTTGTCCTTTCATTGTCACAATCATAGTTCCTGGACATATTGACTCATTAAACCCTATTTCACAATTGCAGTCGTGATTTCCCTACTTGTGACGATATTTGTGCTTTAGGTTCTTGACACTATTACGCTCTGAACAACAATTGCCTAAATGGTTAAGAAACGGTATTGTTTAATTGCCAACTATTTCGAAAATGTACTTTCTGAAGCTTAATAGAAACAATGGAAGTTACAAGGATACACCATCACAGATACACAAAGCTACAGGAACAAACGTCTAACATTACACATTAATTCTGCTTTCTGATACCTCTTCTACGTCTCCAGCTTCCAATACCCCAGGCAGATTGATCAAGATTTCCATCATCTTTCCCCTCCCACCAACGACAGTTTCTACTACCGGCAGCTCCCACCGCTGGCAGAAGCCAACTCCAGTCGATGCATAATCCGGCAAATTTGGACTAATTTCATCCGATCTGTCTCATGATTAAAGGAATTCTGCCAAGGACAAATTATGTTATCAGGGTTTAGTTCTATTCCTTACAGTGCAGAAGTGGAGGAGACACTGTTAATCCACACCAAAATGAAGTGACCCTTCCTCAACAAACAATTGATTTTCTTAGTGAAAAAAGCTAAAAAACACAGTGTTTAGACTTGTTGCAAAATATCTGTCGATATTCACGTATCTACATTATTTGCCTAATGTACACCACTAGCCGATCATGAACATTATGGCCAGTTGTACAGAGAA